TTCCTTCATTGTTCTGTTGAACCTTTCAGTCATTCCGTTGGCCTGCGGATGATAGGGGGACGTTCTTGTTCGACGACCCCATTCTTGCTTCGGTCGCTAGCCAAGACTCTCTTTGAACTGCCTTCCATCACAATATGAGTGTCACACTCTACGAGGGTGATGGACTTTTACTCACCACAAACTTCATATATTTTACTTGCGATCGAAATTCAAGCCAACAACGAGTAATGAACAGTTATTTCATGGTGTTGTTTACACATGCTCACAATTTGTGCCTCTTTTCTGTAGCTCAGCGGCACTGGAAACGGAATCTGAACATTGGGAGTAGACATTTTTACCCGTGAGTAGTGCTACACAGTTAGCGAGCAACCCAAAGTTTTGCTATTTGAATCCCGTCTGGTACACAATAATAGTACTGACCGCTGACCAGATCAAACAGGGATGAAATAATCTCCCAATACTCCTTCTGTCGGCTCTCACATAAAACCTCTGGCAAAGTACCGCATCATAACTGGATTTTAATAGTGTGGTGTTGTCGGTATTCATCACTAATATTAAAGACTTCAACAATTTCAATGAAATAATTTGCACATCTTTTTATTTGACTACCGAAATACACATAGGTCGACCTGCAAACTTCCCAAACTGCAGAACGGGAACAGAAATCGCTGAATCAACAATACAAATGGAAAATCGATGAACTAGAGGATCAGTTGAGCCATTCGAATAGGCGTATTACTGCTCTGGAACGACGCAATACCGATTTGGACACCGAACTGGTTCGAGCCAAGGCAGACTTGAGTGCTTCTCGTGAGGCTGCCAGTCTACGACGTGCGGCCCGTGTACGCATGGCTGACGAGTGGCTCCAAGCAGCAGATGATGACGTGACCGATGAGGATGAGAAGAACGCGCTAAGAATCAACGAAATGGGACAAGAATCTCAAAGCGAGGAATCCTCAGCTGCATCTAGGCTATCGAGAATGGCCGCTGGACGGTAAGTGGAAAAAAAAATTTCGTATGATGTTCGCATGAGAGCAACACTGTTGGATCTGTTTATATGCTGTTAACAAAATGAGAAAACTTCATTACCGTCTCACAACTGTTCTGCTGCTTTTTTACCCTTTCCTTGATCAGAAACCGATCCAGCTTCCGGGATATGCAAATGTCCAAGGCCAATTCATTGTATCGATCTAATCCAAGCATTTTCCGCGACAGTCTCGGCTCCATGGGTGACAAAACATCAATGTCACGCGGATCTTCGAACACACTCGATCGAATTGACGATCGTACCGGACCTCGTGACCCACTACGTCTCCGAGCGCTACGTACGGCCGGCTTACCCCGTTCTAGCATGTACACGAAAGCGGACGTAAAGCAGTTTGAAACCACACAAGAGGAAAAACCTGAAACGGCAACGGAAGCTAATAAGAAAGAAACGGCAGAGGATAGCGAGTCCTAATCCTATGAAATGCATTCATAACACATGGAGCTTCATTTTGTTTTACGTCTGTTTGTAAATAAAAAATAACTATTGAGTTAGAGACTATCGATCTTCAGTCACGAACTATTCCACGGAAACCAATGAACAAGATTGATCAATTAATCAGGCTCCGATTCGCAGCAGTTTTCAACAAAACCATTCAGCTTTGATTCGAGTTTGATGGTTTTTTAGCAATAACAAAAACACAGTATTTCTTTCTCAACTGCTCAATACGCAAATGTATTCATTCCAAACAGTTTGTTCTTAACACACACAATTTGATTAATTTTCTCCATGCCTCCTTCCCCCCCCCCACTGTTCTTCTGACCCGTCATCTGCTGCCTCAATCCCTCTATTAAGATGCCAAAGGCACATTCGAACGCTCGTTATGTATCGTGCACGATTTATAATACATAATCCTTAGTATCATACAACCGATTGATGAAGTTGCACAATGTGGGATCGTTGTTATGAGTGCTAAATCATTTTCAGTCTTGGATCCGTTGTTCGGTCAGTTATTAATTTAACTTTAAAATCGTACAAAATAGTATGCATAACAAATAAAGAACCCCATTTTTTCATTGTGACTTTGCAGTGAAGGCAGTCATCAAAAGTGAAATTCATTTTGCGCACCATTGTCAGGACCTTACACCATTCCCACAGATTGGCATTGACTAACCTTTGCCAAGTGGGAAAATGGTACTCTCTTCCTCGTTGAACATATCAGGATTGGTCAGTGAGGTCGTTGTTCAGAAAACCGATTAGATACAGTGTGAGGAAAAGTGGAAAGAACGCCGGGGCATAAAGTATAAAGTTATGCTAACATTCAGCACAATCAAACATTGTTTCGTTACTGATCAAATTTTCGTCCAAGCTTCGGGGCTGAACGGGAGATCACTCTGACTCCGAGGTTTACCCAATCCAACGGGTGAACGACTTTCATCAAGAATAATGCAGAAAAAAGCGGCAACCTACATAGTTGAATATATATTCCGAAAGTCAGCCTAGGATTATCGTATCGAGTAGGAAACCAATCAAAATGTTCATGAAGTCGTGTCATCCATTGCAGAGAGATAATCGAGGTAAATAAGTTAAAGCATTTTCTGAACAGATAAATGCCTAGCCAAACAGCCAAGAAGAAACAGCCCAACCATATTCACGAACAGAAAATAATTATCTCAATATGTGAATCACTGATTAAACGGTATGGCCACTCGTGACAGGAAAAATCTGAACCTTATAACGAACATGCATGTTTTCCTTGACGAGCATAGAAATTTATCAATTGATTTATAATGTTAGTTCCTCGATCATAGGGCTTCACGAGTTGTGTTACCTCAATTTTAACTTGAACTGGCAATCCTTCAAACTTCACCTTCACGTGCGATTCTCTGTTCATCCAGTCAACCAGACGGTCGGAAGCACTAGATTCGAGTTTGCCTCTTATTAGAGCTCATCAGTAGTGCACATCCACCGTTACTTCGGGACTTTGAAATCCGGACCCATCGCATGGAAGGCATGTGTTACCACTAACAACCAGCCCCTGCCTGGGCTGAACCGAATGACCAATTCATATTTTTTCAGGTGTCGTCTTCAGTGATGATTAACTTCTATATGAGTGAAACTCGAGTCTAGTGCTTCCAACTGTATGGTTGACTGAATAAGCTCAGGATTGTGCCTGAAGGTCAAGTACGAAGGATAGTCCGTTCAACTCAATATCAATTATCCCACAGCAAAGCTCATAAGTACATGTGAATTAGGTACGAATTTGCAATTTTAACCGAATTTGTACTTTTAGACAGCGCTCTATAAATATTCATCGGTCTATAGGCGATGGAAAATTTCTGACTGATCCCTCGAAGCGTTGAAAAGCGAACAATCCTGTTTTGATTGTCTTGGAAACCACAGTTTGCCAGAAGAGACGTACACACGAAGTAATGAACTAGATAGCATACGGATGCAGCATAACTCTCCGTGTATCACGTGATTCAGCATGCAGTGTTGCTGGTGTTGGGATTGCTCTAAGTGCTAAGAGCTCGCTTTTTTGACTGGATTGCAGTCAGTAACCAACTGTGCACTGTAAGTCTCAACGATTCAGTATTCGTTAACAGTTATNGAAGCGTCGATGCTTGTTCGTCGTATCGGTATGTATGCACCGACCGACTGCAGTGCAATCAAAAACAAGGGATCTTTATCAAATAGTCTCAATTGTTTGGTCATTGGACACCGCAGAAGTAGCTCAGGTGTTCAATCATCGTCATCGTCGTACTGCGAAATATAGTGCAGCAAACTTCACTGGTCGCTGCCGAACTTGCAATGCATTCAATGTTAGTGATAAAATTTGAGGTGGACAGGGATTGGATCTATCTTGAGGGGGAAGACGAAGATGTATCTCTATGGTCAACACATAGAGTACATAACTGAATTCTGCGTACCTACCGTTTCAAGCATCTGACCTGATAAGAAACGACAACAAGAACACCACTGCCGTCGGTTCGCTGCCATATCTTTCAATGTCTTCAACCAACCAGTTACCGAGCCTTTCGGACCCCAACCCGGAAGGCGTGAGACACCTACTTTACCTAATGGCTCTGTGGATTTGTTCATGCCTC